ACAATCAGAAGCTGATTTGAACATCTTAGATCTTCAGCTCACACACCCGGGTCGAGATGTTTACACGATTTACACTCAGCTTAGGTTCAGCAGCAGACCTGGACATCAAAAACCTGACAACTAGGAAAAAATACACTCAACTTGCAGAACCTTTACAGGAATTTGGGGACATTAATCGTTTTCCATAAATTTAGCAGTTTTTCAGCGACTGAGGTAATCCTTTTTAATGCAGCAGCCTCACAGTGACAGAGCAGACACACTGCAGCAGCATAAATGTGAAGACTTGAGTCCAAAATGAGATGTCAACTTCCCGGGAAAAGAAACTGACAGAGGGTTTAAAAAGTGCTGCTCTCCTGAAATACTGATGCAGTTACCCGACAGTCTTACACAACACTGGCAAAGTAGAACAAAGCAAAGAAAATTAGTTTGAAGAAGTTTGAATTGCATCTGCTTACATCTGTACAATTCAACATAAAATAAGACAAATAAATCTTTTTGGAGCCAAGCTGCGGGACAGTAGAACATACCATGGTCTTCAGATTTAAGGAAACATGTTTGTTTGGTACGGACGCCCAAAAATGTCACATAATCATGTTTTAACATTTTTTTCATTGAAAATTAAATTTGCGATTAAAAATGATCATTCCCACGCTTATTGTGACTCATATTGCAATATCTGTCCAAATAATCGCAATATGTTTTTACCACATCGTGCAGCTCTAGTACATTATACTGTGTTGTACAATGTTGTTGTCATCCAGTTGGTTGTAGCCACCTCTGTGGGAATATTTCTTCAGTGACACGAGTCTGAGTTCTTTGGTACCATCGTACAATCAAAACATTGCACCTAATGTAATCAATAAGAAATTTAAAAGAAGCAGAAAATACTTTTGCCAGTCCATTGTAAAGCCCTTATAAGGCAAACTTGATGTAATTGTTAGTTATATAAATTAAACTGACTATATTGCAACACTTTATGCTCCACCATCAGTATTGCTTTATTATAGCTGTGTTAAAATATTAAAATGATCAATCTGTGTTCAGTTTCGGGTAATAATTTAATTAAATTTAAGCCAAGACGTTGATTGCAGGTATTGACTTTGACCAAGTTGTCAATATGTTTTGTCACGAAGAGCAACAACAATTTCCCTGACTTTAAGTCAATTTAAGTGAGTCTAACCCCCCCCCCCCCCCNNACAGGCTGAAAGCAGCACAGACTGAACCGTGAGATTCTAGTAACATAAAATTTCCATTGGACTTTAATAAAAGAGTGAAAGTTTCAGAGCATTTCTAAAGAAAGATGAGATTTAATCCTTTGAATGATGCTGAAACAGTAAAGACGGTAACACTCACAGCCCCAACAAGAAAAATCATTGCGTGTGAAGGCTCAGCATTAATCATCTGACGTAAGTGCCTCCTCAGTTTCAGATTTCCTCCCACTCTGTAGAGTGACTCATCTTTCTATAGAATCCCTTTACACGCCCGCAGACACCGAATATCTCTGGAAACAACAATACCTTCAGAAAACTGCAATACTGCACAGGCGTTAAATGATCCATAGCGATACCAGTAAGACGTCTTATCTGATCAAAAGCATCGCTGGTGATGGTAGATGGTGTCAGATCACAAACAGACCTGGTGCTCTTGTCTGTCATGAATAGTTCAGGCTGAGTTCAATTCTACACAAAGGTGCTGAGCACAGCTGTGATTAAGTTTACCAAATTTACCAGGTCTTACCAGTCTTTAGGGAGTCAGAACTCCAGTTCAACACTTTAGTAGTCAGATATCCGTTGTCGTCATTGTTGATTACTCCCGAAGCCCAAAAAATGGTATTCTGGACAACTCCAATCTCCACCAACTCCTGAGGGAAATGTCTGGCTCTTTAACTGCTAAATGCGCCACTATGTTCACCAGCTAGTCTCAATCTGTGTTTATCTGAGTGTATAGAGCAGGGGTGTCAAACTCTG